ACACACACACACTCACACACACACTCACACACACACACATACACACACAGAAACCCACCCACACACCACACACACAGACACACACACACACCACACACACAGACACACCACACACACCACACACATATACATACACACACGTGCACTCACTCACACACACACACACACACACACACGTGCTCAATGAATAACACACACTGTTGTATGACTACATCTTCTCACTCTCTGGTTGAAGGCATTTCTCCCACATAGTGTCAAGACCCAAGAACACACAACACACAAGCACAACTCCAAGCAAGATTGTTTTTAACAGTTTTACCTGAATCTTTATACAGCTGCTTTATGGCTGTTGGTTTTCCAGACATAAAAATCCTGGCCAAGGGGGCTGGGGAAATGTTTCAGTGGGCAAAGTGCTTGTTGTACAAAAATGAGGACCTGAGTTTAGCTCATCCGTGAAAGTCGGGCCTGGTGCCATGCCCCTGTGAGCCAGCACTGTCTCTGCAGAGACAGGCAGATCCTGGGCATCCCCGTGGGTGTAGCTGAAATAGTGAGTTCCCAGCTCATTGAGAGACACTGTCTTAAAAGAATAAGGTAAAGAGCTGTATAGGGAGGACCCACAGTTGACCTCTGGCCTCCAGATTGTCTGTGCATGCACACACGTGCGTGCGCACACACACACCATCCCCTTACCATCATTGCTGCCACTACCACCACCACCTTTACCATCACCATCACCACCACCTCTACTACCACCACCATTACCACCTCCATCACCACCACCACCATCACCATCATCACCATCACCACCATCACCATCATCACCATCACCACCACCACCATCACCATCACCATCATCACCCCCATCACCACCATCACCATCACCATCACCACCATCACCATCACCATCATCACCATCATCCCCATCACCACCACCACCATCACCATCACCACCATCACCATCATCATCACCATCATCACCATCACCATCACCATCACCACCATCACCATCACCATCATCACCATCATCCCCATCACCACCACCACCATCACCATCACCACCATCACCATCATCATCACCATCATCACCATCACCATCACCATCACCACCATCACCATCACCATCATCACCATCATCCCCATCACCACCACCACCATCACCATCACCACCATCACCATCATCATCACCATCATCACCATCACCATCACCATCACCACCATCACCATCACCATCATCACCATCATCCCCATCACCACCACCACCATCACCATCACCACCATCACCATCATCATCACCATCATCACCATCACCATCACCATCACCACCATCACCATCACCATCATCACCATCATCCCCATCACCACCACCACCATCACCATCACCACCATCACCATCATCATCACCATCATCACCATCACCATCACCATCACCACCATCACCATCACCATCATCACCATCATCCCCATCACCACCACCACCATCACCATCACCACCATCACCATCATCATCACCATCATCACCATCACCATCACCATCACCACCATCACCATCACCATCATCACCATCATCCCCATCACCACCACCACCATCACCATCACCACCATCACCATCATCATCACCATCATCACCATCACCATCACCATCACCACCATCACCATCACCATCATCACCATCATCCCCATCACCACCACCACCATCACCATCACCACCATCACCATCATCATCACCATCATCACCATCACCATCACCATCACCACCATCACCATCACCATCATCACCATCATCCCCATCACCACCACCACCATCACCATCACCACCATCACCATCATCATCACCATCATCACCATCACCATCACCATCACCACCATCACCATCACCATCATCACCATCATCCCCATCACCACCACCACCATCACCATCACCACCATCACCATCATCATCACCATCATCACCATCACCATCACCATCACCACCATCACCATCACCATCATCACCATCATCCCCATCACCACCACCACCATCACCATCACCACCATCACCATCATCATCACCATCATCACCATCACCATCACCATCACCACCATCACCATCACCATCATCACCATCATCCCCATCACCACCACCACCATCACCATCACCACCATCACCATCATCATCACCATCATCACCATCACCATCACCATCACCACCATCACCATCACCATCATCACCATCATCCCCATCACCACCACCACCATCACCATCACCACCATCACCATCATCATCACCATCATCACCATCACCATCACCATCACCACCATCACCATCACCATCATCACCATCATCCCCATCACCACCACCACCATCACCATCACCACCATCACCATCATCATCACCATCATCACCATCACCATCACCATCACCACCATCACCATCACCATCATCACCATCATCCCCATCACCACCACCACCATCACCATCACCACCATCACCATCATCATCACCATCATCACCATCACCATCACCATCACCACCATCACCATCACCATCATCACCATCATCCCCATCACCACCACCACCATCACCATCACCACCATCACCATCACCATCATCACCATCACCACCATCACCATCATCACCATCACCACCACCACCAGCAACAACAACAAACCTGTGGGCATATGGTGCCATTCTCTAGCTGGGAGATGAGGCCGGCACTGTCTTTCTATTCTGAGTTGTATGTGTTTTATTTCATGCGTATGAGCTTTGACCACATTCATGTGTGTGTTCCATGTGTGCCTGATGCCCGAGTCACAAGTGAGCGTCAGGCCTCCTGGAATTTAGGCACGGATGGTGGAGAGGCGCCATGTGAGTTCTAGGGTCTGAACTCAGGCCCTCTGCAAGAGCAGCAGGATGGACCGCGAGCCACTTCTATCTGCAGAACGCTGTCATAAGAAGGCCAGTAACCTGGTGTTTGACTACCGAGAGCCTCAGTCTCTGTGGTATAGAGAGTTCTAAAAGCCACCGTGGCAGAAGAAACGTCTCAGCAGGAAGCCTGTGGGGGTGGCAGCTCAGACCTTGAGACTTCAGGTTTTCCGCCTATTGTGAAGTTACTGTCTTAGGTGGCCTGACAAATCAGGGGCCAAGGCACGGCTGTGTTCTTTGTTAACATTTGGACACCGTGTCTCCGTATTCACAAAAGTCCACAGTCTCTAATCAACCACTCTGTGGTTCCGTAGGGTTTGGAATTCCCACTTTTTGCATGGTGCAGAGATGGGGTGGCCCCAGTCAGGAATTCTAAGGCAGATGAACACAGTCACAGAGACAAACAGGGACTGTAAATGCCTCATCTCTTCAGCCATGCTTGACACCACATGTGGCCAAATGAGTCACGAAAGCTTGTGGTTTCCAGACAGTTTTTGGTTTTGGAATTATTTGTGTCTAAGCACTAGAAGTTTATTTTTCTGACTTTAAGGCATCTCTTATAATCGAGTCAGGAACAATAAAGCTAACTAATGTGAAACAACCCGCCTGTCTTTGAAAAGAGCAGGCTGACATATCTGATGAGGTTCGATTCCATCTTTCTGCATGTGCTTCTCACTGGGTTGTGCAGTCACTGTGCAGGGGAGGCAGGGCAGGTAAGAGAGAGGAGGGCCCAGGCCCTGACAGGTAGGTGGCCTGCTGGGAACACTGCAGTCCTGCAGGGTGAGGTCAGACTTCAGGCTTATGGCTATAGGTCCAGTGATCTGTTCACAGTGCCACACTGCACAGTGTCCACAGAGGGTCATTCAGGCATGTGATGACAAACAAAGCAGAGTGAGATTTTATTCTCGTCTTAGGACCATATAAGGAGTGAGGTGAATGTGAGTTCATATGCTGTGGCATTTTGGGAGAGAAGAACGGCTGGTATTTGGAAATGTGTGGGATTCATTTTGGGGGCTTAGAAACTATGCTCACCCTGTAATACACACAAGTCCAGAGACTTGGGCTTCATGAAAAGACGAGGGAACAGAATTGTGACTCCCCTTCTCCCTTCTCTCCGTGCCTTTTCATTGTTGAAGGACTGTCAGATATGATAGTCTTCCTAGGGAGCTACGGGGTGGTGGGGAAGGTCACTAGGTTCCCCCATCCCTGGTGACTCTATCCTGGAGCCCCATGAGGTTTACAAGAAACTCCCCATCTAAGGCTCCTGGGTATCTCTCTCACTGCTGCTATGATTGCAGAATGTCACAAGATACTCCTCCTGGTGCCCTCTGTTTTTTCCATCAGCCAGGAGGCATGTAAACACATTGACCACTATGGTGGGAAATTACCAATACGGAGTCAGGTAGAAATACAAGGACTTTAATAGGGAAAAGCCTTACTTACAGAGCAACCTAGCCAGCCGGCGTGGCAACAATCTGTATGCAAGCCCAAAAGAGCAACCAAAAGCGAAAACACAGTCACCCTACGTCCCCTGACCACGCCCTCACAAGTGAGGGCGTGGTCAGGCACACCTGTAGTCAGCCCCTAAGTAGGCGAGTGTTAAAAGGCTTTGGATGAGCCTCCAATGTGGAGTCAAAGTTGAGGGTCATGGCCTGGGTCTGTTCTTCAGGTATCAGGTTTCCTCAGGCCCATACAGGTCCACTAGAGAGGATGAGCTCCTGGGCTCCAGATGCATGGTTTTAAAGACCAGCTCTGTTGAGTGAGATAATGATGGGATTCTCTCTTTTGGTGCCTTCTGCGACAGCCCACTGTCTGTGTAGTAGCTATGTACACCTTTCTCCATACTGTGAGTCACTGTGTTTCTTATGGTAACCCCTGCACAGTCCTTGCTATACTATACTGTAGAGGAGTGGCGACAGATGGAATAGTCTGTACATGGAATAGTCTGTATTGCAGATGCAATATTTAATCAGAGTTTCTAGTAGAGGGCTGGCTGGGGAACTGACAGGTCCAGGTGGTTGCCTAAACCCACCACCCAGTGGCCTCCAACACTCTCGTCTGGGCATTTTCTCTCCTCTGCTAATTGCAAAGCCTTTGAGTGCAGGATGGCAATATGTGTTGTCCCTTGCCCCCTATCCCTGCCCTGTTGTAACCCACTGTTCCCTTTGTTCCAGTGCCAGGACTACCGTGGTGGCTGGCTCACAGGTGCCCTGTGCGAGGACTTGTGTGTGGCTGGGGAGCTGCTGTACCAACGCTGCCTGTATTATGAGCGTGGCAAGAAGGTGCTGCAGGCCCAGTGGAGAGGCCGGACTGTGGTCCTCAAATCCAAGAGGGAGGCTTTCTCCAGCTTTCCAACCCTAACTCTGCTGGAGGAGGAAGTGGGGCCAGGTGCCCCAGGCATCCCCGAGGCTGAGCTGCTCCTGATGGTGGCTGGGGAGGTCAAGAACACGCTAGGCTTGGAGCTGCCCAACAACAGCATAGGGCCCCTGTGGCCTTCCAGGCAGGGTCCTGGCTGGCGGCAACAGCTGGCCAGTGCATGGTCACTGCTCCAGCAAGAGGAATATGTGTACTTCAGCCTGCTGCCAGATCTGAGCCGCCACATCCTGCCCGTGCTGGGATCCTGTGGCCACTTTTACGCAGTAGAGTACTTGGCAGCCGGTAGCCCTCACCACAGGGCTCTCTTCCCGCTGGATGATGTTGACCAGGCACAGGCTATCAGCCACATAGCTCTCAGCTTCCTGGACATGGTGAGCCATTTCGAAAGTGACTTCTCCCACCGCCTCCACCTCTGTGATGTCAAGCCTGAGAACTTTGCCATCAAGAGGGACTTCACGGTAAGTGGAAGCGGGCTGCCATGTTTGTGCTAGAGAGAGAAGCGTCTCTGGTCTGTGTGGGAAGAAATGTATTGGCTCAGAAGGGAGCCAGAGTAACTTTGGGCAGCCTTGTGGCTCCGGGTCACTCCTGTTCCAGACCACTTCCTTGCCAGGTTGACGAGAGGATTTAAATAGATGTGTCTGCTTCTAGAGTAGAACATCAGCAAAGCAGAGGCAGAGGCCATGCAGGAAGTGCCTCTTTTTCTTGAGGGGAGCTCTCATGACTGGTTAGTGCTAGTCCAGGATCTGTGTGGTCTGCGGAGGGTAGTTCCTGCACTGCAGATGGCAGTGAGAACAGCCTGTTCTTCCAGGCATTCTATGTCCACAGCACCAGCATGCTGAGATAGTCAGTGCCTCCAAACATTGCTCCTCTGGAGAGATTCTAGACAGTTTCAAGTCTCCAATACAACATCTAGAGAGGCATGTGCAGTTCTGGTGCTTGGCAGCAGGGAAGCCCCCAGGAGAGGTGGATGTCTGACCCTGCAGCTCTTGCAGATGGAAGGTGCGCTTTTATCCTCACCTTGGGGCTCTGGCCCTGCACCTGAGATCTGAGTGGTGGATAAGAAGTGACAAGAGAGACCTGTATATTTTATAAGATGGTAACGGACTCCTTCCCCTCTTGGCTAAAAGTAGTGCTGAACCTCTTAACTGTGGTCTCATTGCCTCCCTGGACAGGTGCTGGCCACAGTGGGAAGTGGTAGCAGGGCTGCCTGTGATGTCATGGGCAAAGGCTAGGCAGTGGGGAGGGCTGTACTCTGGTTACTCACTCCTGCAATAACTTGATTCTTATGCTGTAAGTGATGCTCAAACCGAATTGCTCATAGTGGGGACAGGCTCATAGTAGAGCAAGGCTCTTTCTTCATCCTGGTTAGGACCGTGAGGGATAAAACAAGTTATTGCTGGGACATGGGATTCCATGGCAGGCAGCATGGGATTGGTGTAGACTTCTTAAAGCAGGTTAAAATCTAGGAAACTAAATTTACCTTCAGTGTCATGTGTAGTCAAGTTTTTGTCCTTGTTCTCCCTGTATCCTCTCAATACCTTGTTTCTGGCTGCTCTGGAGGGGATGAAAATAAATACAGGGGCAACTTTAAATGGGAAAAGATGGCGCTGGAGGGAGTTCTGGTAGGTTCCAGAAGGTTCTGGGAGGCTCCAGTTGATTGTGTATGCTGGGAAGGGCACTCTGGGAATGCTCACTCAGTCCTGTATTATGTCCTTGCTATGAGTTCACCAGTGCCTCTCAGATAAAGCCCCTAGTATAGCATCCTGCCAGCTGCTACTCTGGAGCCCATTGCCATTCTAGCTAAGGCTTCCCAGTTTAGTGAGCAGAAACACCCAGTAGAAAGATGGGCAGTTGCCCCCCACTTCCAAAAAGTCTTGTCATAGTCACTTGAAGTATGGATATAACCATTATGAGTCCTAGGGTCATAGCCATCTGAGATGGGGCATATAGCTACCTGAGTCTTAGGGACATTGGAATGAAGAATGCTGTCCTCTGGGCATGACATAGCCATTGACCCCTTGAGCTCTCAACAGCTGTGATTGCCTGCATGGGAGAAAAATATTGGATCCATTTGTGATCCACATTGGAGAGGAGGGAGGAGCTTGTGAAGTATAGCACTGTCACCAGGAGTCCCCACTCCTCCCTGAAGATCTATTACTGGTTGTCCTTATTAGATAACTTGATAGCAATATCAAATTCCATTTTCTGTTACATTTACTTATTTTGTGTGGGGGAGTCATGAATGTCACAGCACATGCAGAGAGGTTCAATGTTAACTTGTAGTCGGTTCTGTCCTTAATGACATGTAGGCTGAATTCAGGTCCTAGGTTTAATGACAAGTGCCTTTACCTGCTCAGCCATTTTGCAAGCACTGAAACATAAATTCTCACACTGCACCTCAGATCTACCAAATCTGAGACTCTGGAGAGGGCGGAGAAAGCACCTATGATCCAATCCAATACTCAGGAAGACCAAGCAGGAAGATGGTGAGTTCAAGGCCAGCCTGGACTCCATGATGGACTCCTGCCTCAAAAACATGCAAGCAAGATAACAGACCAGGCACTTTCTTGGTGGCTCTGGTCTGTGTTCAAGTTTGGGAACCCCCCCCCAACACTCCTGCTTCCAGAAAGTGGGTTCTAGTTTTGAGCCCTGGCTGAGCATCTGCACTAAGGAGGGTTCTTATAGACGAGGCAGGAGAATGGAAAATTCTAAGTCTCCCTGTGCAGGTCTTCAGGCACTATGCAGTAATTGCAAATGAACAAGTGGGAAAAGAATGTGACCCCAAGTCACACAGGCAAGACTTTCAAGCGTGAGGTGCTTCCTGCTAAGAGAGGGTTGTAGTCAATGTTTCTAGTCCAGTGCCCAGAGGAGGTTTGAGCAGAGGACCCTACTTGAGTCATTTTGTGCAGCACGAAGTCAGTGATCCTCCTGATGTTGAGAAGAAGAAGGGTTTCCTGTTTGTTTTGTACACAGGAGCTGCCATTCAGTCTAGGCTATAAGTATAAATTAAAAAAAAATAAATCTGACTGTCATTGGGTAATGAGAGAAACAGTGTCACAAATGGGGCCGAGGAGGAGCACAGAGGGTGGGGAGAGTGCCAAAAATCCAGGGAGAGAATGGGCCCTGCCCTAGTAATAAATTGTAAAGACAGTAGGCTCATTAGCATAGCTCTTATTAATTTTAAAAATTAGTTATTTTGTAATATTATGTGTATGGGTGTTTTTGCCTGATATGTCCTGTGTACCACATAAAATCTTTTGTGGTTTATTTTATGCATATGAGTGTTTTGCCTGTATGTTTGTGTGTGAACCGTGTATGTGCCTGGTGCCCACAGAGGTCAGAAGAAGGCATCAGATTTCCTGGAACTGGAGTTATGAATGTTTGTGAGCCACTATGCGGGTGCTGGGAACCAAACCTGGGTCCTCTGAAAGAGCAGCAAGTGCTCTTAACTGACAGGCCATCTCTCCAGCACCCAGTTCTGATTAATATTTAATATTTTTAACCAAGCTAAATGATGATATTAGTTATTCATTTTGACCACAAATGAGACAGGAAAGATTGATAAATTGTATAATCTTGAGATGTAGCTCAGTGATAGACTCCAGCCTGGCAAGCACAAAGTCCTGGATTCAATTCTCAGGATTGCAAAACAAATAAAGGGAAATACCCTCTTTTAATTAGGGCTAGGCTATGGCTCAGTGGTAGAATGCTTACCAGGCTTCTGTGCTTTCCCTGGGTTCCCCAGTATCTCCCCCAAAAGAGCAACAAAAGGAGGGGACACTAGTGGAAAGGGGGAATGTTGGAGGGTGTAAGTGGGGGTAGATATGCTCAAGACACATAGTACATATGTATGAGATTGTCAGAGACTAAATAAAAAGATATAAAATATTCAACTCCCTCAAACAAACAACAACAATGAATTGTTTGCCATACCTGAGTTCATTATTAGGCAAAGATAATGAGAGAGGTAGAAATTCTCTTTGCTTTGTTCTCATCATTCTACACACGTTTTAAAATAATTTATGCCCTTCCTGCTGTTTTACTGATAATCCCTGGGAAGCCAGTCCACTTCCAGCATTGATCCTGAGTGAAAAAAAAAGAAACAAAAGTATAATCAGTGATCATGCCTTCTGAAGCAGAATGATACCAGTAAAGGAGCCCTCTCTGAGATGCTCCAGGGTGGGGGGAGGAGGAGTGGCCGACATTTTCACAATGGCCTCTGAGGGTTTGTGGGATACCAGTTCCATCAAAGATGTCACATTATGTCATGGCTTCTTATCTTGAAGTGATCAGCTTTTGAACTTGGGTAGACTCCAGATTCTAGCAGCTTTGAGATCACTTATTTTTGGGGGGAATCCAGGTGTCGAAGGGAAATCTGCATAATGTATAAGTTATTCTTTTTTTTGGTTTTTGAAGCCTATTTGGTTGGAAGCCAGAATGATAAATCTGAAATTCCGGCAGTCCCAGAGTTCTTACTCTGACAGTGGAATTTGGGGTTGATGCTGTTGGGTCTGGGCTTATACACGATGATTCGCAATTTCCACTGCCATTTTCCCACGGCTCATCTGACTGGTCAGTTGACTTGGGTACCAGATGGGCCATAAACAGAGCAGCCTGTGACTGCTCATAGTCTTGGGGCTCAGTTGTCTGTCTCTCACAGTGTTTATAATCCCCACTCTGAGAGGTGTGAGGAAATGTGAGGCTTAGCATAGAAAAAACGGACTTCTCACAGCAAACACAAAAGAGTGGATGGTGGGGGCCGTTCCTGACACCCGTTAGTGACTGTCACATGGACTCTGTCAAATCTACAGTCTTTCACAGAAGCCGGCACAGTCTTAAGCTGAAAGTGTCTGCAAGGACACGAGGATGTCTGGCCCACTACTGTGTATTTGCCCTTGGACAGATGAAATGCTTGTTGTTAATCATTGTGACCAAGGACTATTGTTTCAAAATCTCCAATGTTATGCTCCCTACTTTTGTCTTATGTGTGGGGTTGTTAACACGTGTGTGTGTGTGTGTGTGTGTGTGTGTGTGTGTGAGTGTGTGTGTGTAGGCCAGTGTCATTCCTCAGAAGCTGTACAACTTTAAAATTATATCATCATCATCATTTTATACAGGACTTCCTACTAGCCTGAACTTCACCGAGTAGATTTGGCCACTGAGCCTCAGGGATCTGTTTGTTTTTGCTTCCACAGCTCTGGAATTGCAAAGCATTTTACCTTGTTTATTTTTAGACATGAGTTTGGGGATTGAACTCAGGTCAATCACGCACACTTTACTGACTCAGCTGCCTCCTCAGCTCCCTCAGTTTTGACTTTCAGAGCTTCCCCTTCCCCTGACCTCTTTAAATGAACTTATCAATATTTTACCTGTGTCTTATCATGGAAACATTTCACAGTTTTAGTCTCAAATATCAGTATTCTCTGGAGGGTGTCTCTGATTGTTTTTGTTATTTGTATTGACAAATGTCATAGACAGACACAAAAGAAACAGAAGAGGGTACTGGAGAGACAGCTCCATGGTTGAGGGTGTTAACTCTCTTCTGGAGGACCTGATTTTGGCTCCCAGAACCCAGGTCAGGTGACACATAACCACTTGTAACCCAGCACCAGGAGGGCCAATGTCCCCTTTCAGCCTCACAGGTACTTGCACACATGTGGCATATATGCATACAAGTACACACATACACATAAGTACAAATAAAAACAAACTTTAAGAAAGCAACAGAGAGAAAATTCATTTTAAGGTATTGTACATATTCCGCCTTTAAAGTCCAGAGAAGGTTCAAAGATGAAGGTGATATGGATGGTTACTGTCCTGAATCCTAGGCTCAAGTTAGTGACATCAAGGGACCTTTTACAGTAAAACTTTGGGACAGGGTCTATGACACTAGCTTTTGTCAAAGGAAGCACTTATGAATGCTCTGGGGGAAATAAGCCATTTCTCAGGGCATGTCCTGGGCATGTCCTCCTGACAGGTGGGCTCCGTGGTCACAGTCATGTGGACCCATTTGACACCAGGACAAAAAAGGGAGCCATAAATGGGTTCTACTACAAGGCCTATGCTATTATTTGATTGCTGTCCATGCTATCATTATTGTCATGCATCTCTCTGATTTCAGGTGGTAGCTATTGACGTAGACATGGCATTTTTTGAGCCTAAGATGAGGGAAATCCTTGAGCAAAACTGCACGGAAGATGAAGATTGCAACTTCTTTGACTGTTTTTCCAAGTGTGATTTTCGAGTGAAAAAGTGTGGAGCCCAGCGCGTCAACAGCAACTTGCAGGTGAACAGCCCTGAGAGCCAGGGAGATGATGTTTGTGTCTGCATGCTTCTGGGCTCATTGGATTCCACCAGGGCAGGATGAGACGGTTTGCTGGGTGGAGGTCCCAGTGCAGCTCCACTGGAGAGTGCTTCTGAAAGGTTGTTCATAAGTTCTAGTAGGGGGATGCAGGTATGTGCAGGCTGTTGGCTGAAGAATGGTCTTCCTTCTCTCTGGGAAGGTTGGCCAGCTTACAACCACAAGAGGGATGCCCATGGAGTGATGAAATAGGAAGGGGCCGCTTGCCTAGCCAGACAGATCAGCCACACCAACCCTGGTGATCCACAAGGAGGAATGTTCTCAGACAAATGGCCCTCCCACGGGAGGAGATCTGTTCTTTCTGCCAATGTCTGTAAATTCTCACACAAGGACGAGGAATGAGAGCCAGAGCTGAGTCCAGGGAGGCTAAGACCCACGATACAAGACAGTGGGAGACCAACAGGGGAGGCTGGACAGGGAGCAGGGGCTGTCACAGGGAGACGGAAGATGTAGGTCCAAGAGGTCAGAATGAGTAGATGAGTAGGAATTGCCTCTAGCTCTGTCAGTCAGAGTGCAGCTGCAGGCTGGGAGACTCCAAGGCCATAGTTGAGTTTTTCTCCTATTGGTTGGAAACGATACCTTCTCTTCGGCAGAACCGTCCCCTTTTGCCCTCACCTGAAGCTTCAAATGGGTGAGTGTGAACTTGGGCCCCCAAGTGCCTAGTGCTGAGTGTAACCAGAGAGATGTCCAAGCTACTTCCGAGGGTGGGTTACCTCACTGCTGCCTGCCTCTTTTCTGTGCCCTTGCCTAATAAATTCTACCTGTTCATTCTGTCATTCAGCCCACTCCCCCAGCCACGCCTCCCTCTAGTCCATCCTCCCAAGGGGGCGGGGTTGATGGGATTCGAGCTGATTCGTTAAGCGGGGGCTTCAGGAAAGCACAGTGTGGCTTTAATGCCAGGAAGGAGAGACCTGGGCAGCAGAGCTATCAGTCTGGTGAATCTGCTGAGGCCAGACCGAAGCCTTGGTTCTACCACCGGAGTCTATGCAGGCTGCTGCATCAAGTGCCACAATAAGCGGGTGTCCCCACTTTCAGAAGGCTCACCCACGATGTGGGCTTGGGCTTTTGGGGTGCCCTTCCATGTGGAGCTACCCCTTGGCGGATCTGGGATACCCCTGCCTTTGAGCCATGCAGACCATATGGTTTTCACCCGAGTCCCCACCGTCTTTGATCTCATCCACTTCTTGCATTAAGAGAAACTATGGACTGACAAAAAATAGCTCTGTGGGTGCTAAAGTCACTTGCTAAGCCTAACTCTTTGGTTTTGACTTCTGGAACTCATGTAGTGGCGAGAACTTCTGAAAACTGTTCTCTGACCTACACACACACACACACACACACACACACACACACACACACACACACACACACACACAACACCACACATATTAAAAAATAAACAAAGAGGAACTAAGGTTATAACCTCAGAACGCAGGGCTCTTACAGAGCCGTTGAGAAGCAAGTGGAACCTTGAACCAAAGAAAACTGGGCAGAGAGGACAGATCCAGATGACAAAATCCAAACAGCCGAAGGATTTAGGAAATTATTTCGTCTCATCATTCAAAGACGTAATTGAAATGATGCTAATCAAAACTCTACAGCGGTATGCTTTTGTCAGTTGGGAATAGTCATTAAGATTCTATTAATTAATAGTTGAAGCTTCAGGGAGTTAGATGAGCGTCTCTACCCTTAGCTTGATGTTAGCTTGGGCTCAGATGTGGACACACACATCCTCGTGCATGACTCTCGCCTTTCAATACAGATCCAGAGGTGAAAATGGGCTTTCTTTGTGCTGTAGTATAAAGCACCACACAGGGCAAAAAATATCAGGTTATAAGTCAGCATTCCTACTATGTTCACTAAATAGTATTTTATTGGAAAGACACTTTGTTGTTTTAGTCTGCTTTCAGTCACTGTGACGAAACACTCAATTCAATTGGCTTATAATAAAGAAAATTTTTGGTTGTGATTCCAGAGGTTTCAGTCTATGGTCCACTGGCTCCTTTGCTTTTCAGTCAGTGGTGGGGCACAGCATCCTGGCTGTGTGGCAAAGAACATCTATTTAACCCCATAGTGGCCTGGAAGCAAAGAGGGAGAGAAAGACCTCCATCCCAGGATCCCTTGCAAGGTACACACTGATGACCTCACTCACTCATGGCCTCACCACATCCTAATAACATGTAGGCTGGCGGCGAAGCCTTCAGCAGATGGACCTCTGAGGCACACCTCAGATGTAATCCGTTTGCATGTCTGAAAAGTTCAGATTCAGTTTCTGAGAGCATTCTGAGGAGCCATGCCCTCTCCGAGGAGCCCAGCACTGGGGCTTACTCGTTACTGGGCAGCTGTGACTCGGCTGTGGAGGACTGACGCTGTGGTACATCTTTCTAGAAATGTAAAAGTTTGCACAGGAAAAGGGTGATTCCTAGTCAAAAGAGGAAACTTTTTTTTTTAAAAAAATATAACTCCTTTGCAAGGAGCAGGACATATTTAAATGTTGGTTTTTTTTTTTTTAATTTTTGAGACAAGGTTTCTCTGTGTATATTCCCGGAACTCACTTTGTATAAAGGAGGTTGGAGAATGAGTCTGACAGAAACCCTGATAAAGGAAAGCTAAGCACTTCTCTTTGTGCTCCCAGGTAGTGCTCCCACTGTGGGGTTGGGGACCTTGAAACTTGTGGGCAAATAATATGTGAAGAGTCTGAGGAGCCCTTATGCTTCACTGAATTCCATGGCCTCTTAGCAGTAAATTTTATGCAATAGTGGCTTTTTCTCTTCTTTCCCTAAAGTCAAGCAGTTCAAAAGCTTCTTACGTGGTCCTGTGCCTGACCAGCTTCCCCTGGAACGTCTCCTCCTGGGCCTCCAAAGGACTGTAAAGATGAAAGCTCACACTCTCGGGACACTATTGCAGGCAGTTATCGTCGTTTTTATCCCCCTTGTGAGTGGGACAGTCCATCTTGAGGGACAGAGCAAGCATGGCTGATCTTTGCCCTGCCGTGGGCCAGCCCCTTGCTTGACAGCCCTGCCTATGACTCTGCGGTGGTTCCTTTTTGGAAATGTGTTCAATCCTTCCAGATCTGCAGAGGGGCCAACTCCTAACATGGCGATGGCTGCCTGTGACTGGGCTCTGCTTTTCTTTGGAAATAGGTTTAATCTTTTTTGAATCATCACCCAGAATTTTCTCCCTCTGCTTTGGGGTTGGGAATGCAATTTTCTACTTCAGAGGGAGGAAGACTTCTGCTCAATGTTAAGGTTCTTTCTGTGAGGCTTCCCCAAAAGAGCAAGGAAAGGGTGTCCCTGAGACCCAGGAGATGTCAGGAATGACTTGCTTCCCTGAATTAACCTCTCACTTTCCCCCTCAGGTCATCTGTGATAAAATATTTCGACACTGGTTCTCTTCAACTCACAGGAGCCCTGCCATCTCCCCACAGCTGCGGCTGCAGTTACAGCAGGCTGTTCAGGAGTGTGCTCACCATGGGGGTCCCTCAGGAAACTCCAGGACTGCCTCCTCCAGTGTGTTCTGGAAGCTTCGGTGGCTCCTGCAGGCCACTCTGAGAGAGCTGCAGGAGGTGGAGAAGTAGCTGCTTTCTTGCCTTAGTCATCAAGAATGGATAGAGGAAGTGACCTTTGAGTGATTTCTTCTGTAGTTGCCATGCAAATGCGCTGTCTGCACCGTTGACATGGCCTTTTGAAGTGTGCAATTAACTTCCCCTTCTGTGGCTGTGATGTGGATTACCCTTGCTCCTGCCCAGCTTGGTTTGATCTTATTTGGTGCTGACTTCTGTCCTGTCACTCCCTCAGAAGTGAGCAAAGGGAGAAGATTCGGAGTATTTGACCTATGGAGTTGCCAGTGTGCAATCCTCTGAGGAGTGGAAGCATACCTTGCCATTAGTGACAAAAGGCTCACGTTAGCCATTAGCAAGCTGAAGTGTGAGCATACAGATGAGTGTGTTTGCAAAAAAGTGTGCACATACATGTGCACCCATGAGTGTGTGAACTTGTTTGTATATATGAATGTGTACTGTGTATATATGAGTACGTTGATTTGTGTAAATACACATGGGTTGTGCACAGTCTCACAACTATGAGTATTCCTTCGTGTGTGTGTGTGTGTGTGTGTGTGTGTGTGTGTGTGTGTGCACATGAATGAGTCAGTCTGCCTGTGAATCTGTACTCATGGATGAATCAATGTGGTATATGCATACACAGAGGTGTATACATATGGAGGTGAATAGTGTGTTGGCCTGTGGAGCCTGTGTGAAGGGGTAGCTTTCTAAATGTGTCCTCCAGGAATCTTGCTGGCAGAGAAGCATCACTTTTCTCCTGTAATTAAATGCAATAATATGTTTTGTCTTTGGAAGTATGATTTGCATTGGAGGGTATGTGGAGTGGCAGCTTTTAGTGCTTTTCATTTTGTGGAAATTGAGGGATCACTCTCCCGTGCATCACAGTGCATCTTCCTTCTGAGTGGGGACCATGTGTCTGCAGAATGCAGTGTGTCTTGCCACCATGGAGACAGCTTCAGTAGAGTACTGGGGTGAGCTCTGGCCACAAAAATTGGGGAGCAGCCTACTGACTGAAGGCCTGGCCTTGGGCAACAGGCTATGCTGTGGTGCCATGCACTCTTTGGCGGACTTGATGAAGGTCTTCTGAAATGGCAGATTCATACAAAGCAGGCCAAACTCCGCATTGCTCCCCAACAGAGGGTGCTGAGCGGATCTAGCAATCCTGGTACCCAGAAGGATCTTGCTTCTGCTTGTTTTTGGCTACCCAATTACACACAAAAATACACACACACACACACACACACACACACACACACCTCCCTGCCTGGGGATTCCATTTAAGGCAGTGGTTCTTAAATAGTGGTGAAATTCATTTAAAAAAAATGTTTAAACCTTTCAAAATAGTGTTTCTATATAATATAATAAACAAACATGGTATCAGTATTTAGTTTTTTGTTTTGTTTTGTGGCACTCTGAGTGCAGAGGCTTGGGCAAGCTAGGGGAGCCCTATACTGCTGAGTTATGAACTCACACCATACTTCATATTTTTAATGTGAAAAATGAGACTGGCCTTTGAAAACCCAAGTGAGCAAGAACCATACTCATGAGGAGAAAATATTTAACAACACTCATAACAGACAGAACACTTGTCTTCAAGAATTTTACCCTAATTAAAACCAGCTTGTTTTACTTAGAATCTTTTGGTCACAAATCAGTTTTTAGACTTTATCCTGGTGAACACTAACATGATCTTTTGGTGAAAGGATTCTGGGCTTACATGCCTGTTGACTTATGGTTGGCACTTATGAACAGTTTTCCTGTTCTCTTGCATGAACATCACAGGCTACTTGAGTTCCTGGAGACCTGGGCTGGTCAATGAGTGTGTGTCTTGCCCATATCACATTACAGTGAAAATACAAACAATTGCTAACACTTCGGAAACTATCAACTCCTCACATAAATCGAAGCCTAACAGTTTGCAGGCAGGCCTCCTCTTAGATGTCCAGAAGGCTTGTCTCCTGACCATCCTACTCTGTGCTTACACCCCAGTTGCTGGTCCTTCTGGAACACCCAGAATGCATGACCAGGACATCATTCTAGATGCTGGAAGGGTGGCTATTCTAAAACTTGACTGGGAATCTCTTCCTTGAACAGCTGGATGTGCTGGAGTTTGGCTGAAATTTTCTAAAACCAACATATAAAACAAGAAGCTCATATTGTTGTCCTAGTGCCCTGCAGTCAGCAAGCAAATGCCACTCTAGTTCTGAAGCTGGGGGCGGGATGCATGTGAGAAAAGTGCTTTAGAAAGAACATGTGCTCCATAGTACACACACACTCACACACACACACTCACACACACACACACACACACACGCTCACACACTCACACACACACTCTCTCTCACACGCACACACTCTCTCTCTCTCTCACACACACTCTCACACACACACTCTCTCACACACACTCACACACATACTCACACTCACACACTCACACACACACTCTCTCTCACACTCTCTCTCACACACACTCTCACACACACACTCTCTCACACACACTCACACACATACTCACACTCACACACTCACACACACACTCTCTCTCACACACACACACTCTCTCTCTCTCTCACACACACTCTCACACACACACTCTCTCACACACACACTCTCTCTCACACGCACACACTCTCTCTCTCTCTCACACACACTCTCACACACATACTCACACTCACACACTCACACACACTCACACACACACTCACACTCACACACTCACACACACTCACACACACACTCACACACACACTCTCTCACACACACTCACACACATACTCACACTCACACACTCACACACACTAAAATTAAAAGCTTATGTATAGGATGTCGTCCTCTCGTAGTCCTTTTTTTGGTTTCATCGCTCATCCCTCCCCCACCCCCACCTCTACTCTGTTTCTCTCTTGGCCAGGTCCAGTCTGCTGGCCGTATTCAGTCTACTACTTTCTCTCCCTGCTCTGGACTCTTCTAGATGCCTCTGGCTGTTCTCTCCCTCATATCTATAATAACCCCCTCCCCTTTAACCATACCTTGGAGCAGTCATGTAGGTAGTTTATATAGGTAGCATGCACTTTTGCCAGCTGAGCCATTTTTCCAGCTCTTCTGAAGCATTTCTAATGAAGCTTGGCTTCAGTAATTTGTTAAAGGACACTCCCCTGAAAAGTACAAGGAGCAGGACCCGGGTCAGTGTCAATGCAAATAATAAATTTATGTTAAAAAAACTATGAGATTACTTCGGCTTTCTTTCTTTCTTTCTTTCTTTCTTTCTTTCTTTCTTTCTTTCTTCCTTCCTTCCTTCCTTCCTTCCTTCCTTTCTTTCTTTCTTTCTTTCTTTCTTTCTTTCTTTCTTTCTTTCTTTTGTGTAGCTGGATAACTTGGTTTTTGAATGTGAAGTTTTAGATGACAACATTGTATAAAAAGAATTCTAACACACCCAGAAGTTATCACACTTTACATCACACATCCTCTTAACACTGCAGGGCCCTTTCAGTAGCTCCGGGGTTCCTTCAAGAAGCTCTATCCCTCCTCTTGCCTTGTCTCTCCCCTTCCATTGCTGAGGACACAGTCGCTTCCATCTGACCCTCAGCCATGCTGGCAGAACTCCCGTGCTTCCTCCGTTTCTGTCTCCGATGCAGGCATCTCTTGGGACTCTGTTCAGGCCATTGGGGAAGACCTGAATGTTTTGCTAGAGCAGGGCCCTAGTTTCTCCTCTTTAAAAGCACATTTTCCAGGTGTTGAGCTCAACTTTGAGAGAACGTACAGGAATACAGACTCAGTGCACTCGAAGTCTAGCCTGAGACTCCTGGGCCTTCCTTCAGGCTCTTCCAGTGTTCTGAGCTCCCCTGTGGTGCCATTTTCTTTTCTTTAATCACTCTCCCTTTCATCCTGTCCAGTGTCCTGGCATTTCTTTGAAGACTGAGAGATGAAACCAGAGTGAGCAGTGTAATAAGAGGTTGTATAATTTTGAGAAAGCTACACCATTCTTTAAATTGGTGCTTTTGATCTCGCTTATTGTAAACATTCCTTCTGCTGCATTGTGAGCTTGGCTACTTTTTTTCTTTTCTTCTTCTTCTTCTTTTCTTTTTTTTTGACAGGATTTCTCTGTGTAGCCCTAGCTGTCCTGGAACTAGCTCTTCAGACCAGGCTGGCCTCAAACTCACTGAGTTCCATCCTCCTCTGCCTCCCGAGTGCTGGGATTAAAGGGCTTTGAGGTCTCAGATGCTCAAGCCAGGCTTAGTGGGGGCAGATTAAGATGTAGAACTCCTAGCTCCTTCTCTAGCTCCATATCTGCCTGCATGCTGCCATGCTTCCTGCCATAACAATAATGACAATAAACCTCTGAAACTGTAAGTCAGCCCCAATTACATGTTTTCCTTTATAAGAGCTGCTGTGGTCATGGTGTCTCTTCATAGCAATAGAAACCCTGACTAAGACACATGGTTCCAAACAAAGGTATAAGGCTCTTAATGGTGCCACCCACCCCATCCCACCTCATCCCACCCGTAGACCACCTCTGTCAGGCTCCTTTCAAAGACTGTGAGGAGGGGATAAGGTCCTGAGTGAATGTGTATTGACGGGAACAGAGCCATGTCAGAGATTCCAGTGGCTTAGAATCATGGGATTGCCAAAGCCTTCTTCTAGTCCAGGGGAACAATTGATGACTGTGTGCAGAAACTACCAACCACAGCTTCTTCCTGCAACCCGACATGGCTCTCCTACCAGATTAGCTAAACCGGCTTTCTTGTTCAGCTGTGTACAACAAACTTACCTCCTTGCCTGAGCTCTGGGCCACTGTTGTTGGTGGTATATCTCCATCTGAGTGCAGCACCCCCACCATGTCAGCTTTCCTGTAGAAGTATTTGTCCTTTCTTTGTTCCCTTGTCATCCTGGTCAGGTGAATCCTGTATGCCGTCAGGTCACAGAGAAGGATGTTCCCTCCAATCTTACAATTTTTCCAGGAGGAAAACCCAGAGTTTGGAAAACTGCACTGATGGGAAATAGGTGTTTTGGTTCTGAGTCCTGACTCAAAGAAGCTGAGTTTCTAGGTAGCCTCTTCATGCTCTTTGGAGGCTCTAACCACTCGGCAACCTGTGGCTCAGAGGACAGAAGGGGATACCACACAAACAGGCACCTGTACCAGCTTCCAGACACCATGGTTGGGCTACCAGACCAACCAGTTCGTAGCTTTAGAACAAATCCAGAGATAACAGGATTTTAGATGGAATCTGCCTGAATACCAGAGAGTGTGCTGCCAGTGTAGTATTGGAGAGGACCAGTTTTTTCCTGGTGGCTAGAAAATCTCAAGCAAGGTACGGAAGATGTCCTTCGAGAGGGCAGGGCAAGTAGAATGACACTTTTAGAATGAACGCCAGCCAGCGTGTAACAACGGGAGGGGACTAGGGATGCCTGATGGGGACCCCAATCCGGATGCTGCAACCCACTGCTCTCCATGTAAGACACCAGCACTCAGGAGCTGATACTACACAGAGGTGATGCCCCACCTAACCAGGGGAGGGGTCATCTTGGAAAAAGAAACGCCAACCCTTCTCCCTAATTCTACATCGAGGAATGTCACAGATGTTTAGAACAAGAGAGCATGTGGGAGAAGAGAGAGGGGCAAAGCTATTAATAAAAACTTAAGCTCTTGCCTGGGTTGTAAGAGTGTGTTCTTCAGTTCACGTTCGGAGACTCAGAACCCCAGGAGATGGAGCACGTTACAAAAGCAACATCTTCCCCGAAGCAGCTTGGAGCCTGGAAACAATCACCATGTTCCTTTTACAATAATGTAAT